TGCATTTAATCAATTGTGCCGAATCGAGGCAACTCAGCGTACAGATTACCGATATTGTACATCCACGGTAATGATAAATAATGTTCCGCGATCGATCAAATAACGCCTTTTTATAACACTTTTAAGCTCCCACGTGCGACGCTGGAAAGCTTAACGACCCCGACGATTCAGGTTCCGCCATTTCCCACTACACCACCAAGATCGGGGAGGGATATAATGCAGATTTATCGGTACAAAACGATATTCCTGCAAAAAGCCGTGCACGAAGATTCGTCGTTATGGAACGACGAAGATATCGGGCTGAAACGAGCAATCAGTTTTTCCGTCGGCCTTTAACTCAGAATAATGTCCAGTTTTTTGCTGTCATAAGTCCTCTCAACAGCGCAAAATGTTCGTTGAAGGTATTATCCCGCTTACGCGCTACACTAATTCTGGTTAATTTCCTTGCCATTGTAATTGTAATTGTGGCTGTAGATTGTCATTGCGTTAATTAATAAATATATAACTAATAAAGCAAGTACTTTACTTTATTTTGCGATAAATATACACTACTAATACAAATTGACAACTAACTAATTCATCAATTTATTAATCAACTTCTGTTATTAATTAATCTTCTTCAAATTATCGCACGCTGTAAGCGTTCACGATTCACGATTCATATCGCTTGAAACGTACGTAATTTGTTAGAAAAATATTTATCTTTATGACAATTTTAAGAATTAAATTAATCGATAAAAAATATTTTTATCAATTTTATGAATCAACGAATGATTTTATGATCAATTTGAATTTTATGAATATTATATTTATAATTTTATAACGCTAAAATATATATATACAAGTTTCTATTCTTTAATTATAAATTTCGAAACTTCAAGGACAATATTAACAATATTATTCAACATTTCTGTATCATCGGCGTCCATCTTTCATCGGGAAGGTGCGCGGTTACAAACGACGACGGTGCTCCTTCGAGCGCGCAACGACCCTTCCTTCCTCTTGGGTTAATCTTGGTCGGAATAATTGCATCCTAGTACGTGATAGATGATGTCACCTCGCCGTTCGTAACCTCGTATTCCATAACTTCGCAATATGGCGCGCAACTTGCATCGAAACTCTCCAAGATCGAGGAGACGATTGTTACATGGCCGAGAAAGGGGAAGACAATCCCCGCAGCATTCGAGAGAATCGTAAATTGGGTTTTCCTTCGTGTACCAGCCTCAGACCGTGTGATCCTGTCAGTGAAATGTCGCGGACTTGGACACGTAACCCTTTCGGTAATATGGATCACATTGTACGTACAAATTAAATGCGTCAAATATGCAAGTCGAAACAGAATTCGGTAGCGCTTTCCTTCCAATATTCCTCTTCGATGCATTATTTATGAAATTTTTAAGGAGACATAATCACAACACATTTAAGGAGCTACATACACCCAAGGGGCTATTAAAGATAAGATAATCGTTATACTAGGCGGGAGAAAGAATTTGAAGAAGCATGGTAATTTTTCAAAAACGCCATGGATGAAATCTTTAAATGGGTTATTTTTTTTAACAAGGACAGGTAGGCGAAAAGAATCTTGATTAAAAATAGACGCATTTTTATGAAGTTTAAATAATTAATTGATGCGTGATTTGACATTAATGAAATTTCTGTCGTGTATATAAGAAATGTAACCCATCGGGAAAAATGATCTAAGAATGTGTATAACATAATGTAAGTAAAGCCTTATATTTATATATTTTTTTTCTTCGAAGATATTAGAATTATCAAAGCCAGGTTTGTACCATTATTTTATATAAAATTTTATTAATAAATTTATATTTAAAAAATATAGAAAAACTGCAGCAGATATCATTGTCGATGTCAGGCATGTTAGTTGCTATCAAGATTTGCGGTATCAGCTGTATAACTTACATATTTTATACAACACAAAAGCGTAATGGATTTTTAAAACACACAAATAAATCTCTCTTTATTGTAATCGATTTTTAAAACTCGCATTTGCTGCAAATTGGCGCTTATCCGAATATGAGTGCGAATTTTCGTTTAAAAATTGATCGGTTTTTCGACTATAAAAATAAAGACCTAGAAAAAAAATCCCTACGATAAACACTACGTATTTTTGTGTCAAATAAAGCATGAAAAAGCATGATTCCAATCCATCCAATCGTTTTCGAGATATTTTTGATACCGATTTGGAAAACGAGAACTTTTAGTTTGGAGAAAAACATTCAAAATTTTAAATATATTTTTAAGCAATATAGAGATGATTTTTATTTTTTATATGGAAACATCTATTTCAGAGCCGTATAATAAATTTTCTGCAGACATGTTAATTCCTCTTGAGTTTAGTTTGACGCAATCTTGCTTCCTTCGTCATGCGGTGCTCATTTGTAGCATATTGGTGCACGCTTGCAATTTGCATAATTTGTAGTAATAAAAATGTATCTTCACTATACATATATATGGTACTATATTAGTTACAATTAACATGATTTTTGTACTATTAGAATAATCTTCCCCGATCGAGTTATTGAGATTACATTGTTATTTTGTGTAAAACTCAA